ATATAATTTCTATTGACAACTCTTTCTTATACGTGGAACAAGACATTGAAATAAAACCTTCTGCCAAGTTGTCTGACAAGAAAGGTTGCAATGGAATTTTCTATGTCGGATACCAATATGCTCCAGAAGTTTTCATGGGATATAAGATATATCTAACTCTGACTTAGTTCAAACAGTAACATGGGCAAACTATGAATGGTTCGCTTTGAGAAACTCAGTACAACCACAAGCTAGAGAACAAACAGACCAGTATGCAACTATTGAGAAAATAAGAAGACTTGACCCTAACGTTCCAGGAGTTATGTTAACCTTTCTGGACAAACTGCAGCAGCATAACCAAAGTAAAATTGAAACTTAGAGTTCCTTTGTCATCTTTCCTCATCTTCAGGTTTTTAAGATACTTGCCAAACTGGGCAGGAAAAATTTCTATCGAACTTACTCCAAGCAAAAATAACTTAGTCATTGCACCAACACAAGACCCATTCACTCTTACAGAAGTAGTGGGAACTGGTGGAGCCAAGTTCTGTGACTTTTGCAAAGACAAAGTTGACTTAGACTTTGGTTTCTCAAACCTCAACACTGAAGTAAACTACTACTTCAATGCTGCTGGAAAACTGCTTGGGACCCAGTTAAGTTCACATGCGAAAAGTTTGAATGCAAGAGAATAGAAAGCAGACTTGCAGTCTATATGTTGGACCCAGATATTTCAAATGCTTTAGCTGCCAAATATATTGCAGTTCCACTTATGTTCCTATACACCAAATATCTGTCAAAGACTTTGCAGGTGAAGTTGGAAACCAAAGTGCTGACCCAGGTGCAAGAACAGATATTGCTTTAACAACTGCAATGAAACATGCAGATACTATGTTTTGTACTGTTTCAGACGAACTATAAATGACTATTCTTGTTTCTACAACCCCGGTATTAAATATCATATAAACATAGATGGCAAATACTATCCAAGAGAGGAATATTCTACAGTTGAGGATATGAGGTCATACAACTTGACATTAGATGCTATGAACTTTAACAAAACTTCACAACAACCATTAACCCTGAAATGCAAAGTTCTATTATGGCCATATGTGAAAGTATGGACCCATACAGGAGCTCAAAACACTCAATATACAAATGGAGACCGTTCAAACTTTTGGCTTGGCATTCCATTTGCTGACTCAGAACTTATGGTGGTATTTCAACTGTTGGTACAGTTCAAAATACAAATATACTGGTGACAGAGACGGTCCAGATGAATTGAAAGCAAAGAAGTTTACAAAACCAATAGCACTTTTCACGGAAGATGCTCTTTTGAAGATTCGTTCGATGAAACCTGCTGGGGCTCCTCAGATTGGTATAACGACAGCTTCCATCGAGCAGATTTTGGCAGCAGGTCAGTAAGTTGTTCTTGAACTGACTTCTCTCCGTCAAATATTGACAGTACGCCAGTTTTGACATAGTATTGTATTATAAACTTACCTTTAGAAATATCTGTAAGTTTTGTTGTTATATTTTTGTCAACGTCAAGAACTTTCACCATCTCGGTTATACCAACTTTCTTTGCTTTATGAAAATATTTTGGTTCAGCAAAGACTGCTATTCTATAACATTTTCCATTGTTTGTATAAAGAACTACTCTGTCAATGAACTTGTATTGTTTGTGTGTGTAAACTTTGTTTTGCTTCAATTCGAAGAGATAACTCAAATACGTCCATCTTTTTATTCTAAGTAAAATGTCATTTCCGAAAAATAGAAGCGTAAGTGTTTCAAAAGGTTTAATGGCGGTGGCAGATGTGAAGTTAAATTCACCAACTCAAACAAACAGTCAAAGTGTTGTTGTCAATGTCAAAGAAAGAGATGTTGAAGTGGGGAAACCATACGAAGACGAAGATGGTATAACAATAGTTCCTGTAAAAGAACAACCAACATACCCTGAAGTTAGCAGAGACTTAAGTTCTGTTGCAGATATTCGAAACGACTACCAACAACTTAAAGACAAACTTAAAACTCAGGAGAAGATTTGTCAAGCTTTGGGTATAATGTTAAACTTGGTTGAGCACAACCCTGTAAAAGTGAACTCATATGTCATCGCACCTCATGAAATTTTGAAAGAACTATTGAAACTTTTGACAGAGGCAGACGATATAAACATCAAAGAAATAGAGCCTGACATTGCTTGCTGTGGTGTTTCATATAATGTCATTGACAAGATATACGTTATGAAAGGAGGTGAAACCTTGAACTTAAAATATAGTTTCCCAGACGTCATAAAAATATTTGACGACCACAACATTTCATTAAAATTTACTTGCTAAGTAAAAATGGCAGAAGACATAGTGGTTTATACTATTACGACTAAAAACCCTGAGTCATATAATTCTATAACAACAAACTTACAAAGTCCTCAAGGACGATATTGTAAACTGACCTTAAACACGATGACGACTAAAGCCTGTTTTGCTCTTTTGACACCAGAAGACTTTGTGTTGTGAATGGTAAAAAATACTTCTTTGAAGATACTTACTCAGATATACCACCAACAGGTTTTGTTGACTTATTTAATACTTTAAGGACGGATGTAACATGTGCTGCAACTAGAGCAGGTTTCATTATGTTTGGATGTCCGACTGAGTTTAGTATAAACGATATGAGCTATAATACAAAACTTATATCTGGTTTTTACTACCAACAGTTTCCTATAACAGGAAAAGGTGTCATACAAGGAATGTCTGTTCCATTGACTTTAAGTACACCTATTTTATATATTGTTTCAAACTTAGGTTCAAAGTGCTATTCGAATGTCGACAGAAACTACTATGACCAAAAGATACTCATGCGTATAAACAACACTTTCTCTGCTGGTTTGCCTATTGTTCATTCGAATGCAGAGTTTTCAGCTTTAGTAAACTCAAACACTTTAGCAAACATAAACTTAACCTTAGTTGACGCAAACTTTGTTCCTGTAAAACTTTTATGTCCTATGTATTTGTCAATGACGGCAGAAAGTTTCGAATTGGAAGATGCAACTGGTGAAAGTATTGTACTACAAGAACAACTTCAACAACAAATAGCTCAAGAACAACAAATGGAACAAATGCAACAACAAAGTCAAGAACAACAAATAGCTCAAGAATAAAAAAAATATTTTTTTTTATTTTTATAAAAAAATGTACAGAATAGACGTTTCAGATTTTTATGACTTCCAAGCGTTCAGAAATATGTGTCCATTTAGAGACTATAACAAAGCAGTCGAGAATTTGAAACGTTTAGTCATTTATGTCGACTCTGCCCAGAATGTTATGTCATGAAAGAATGGATGTTGTCTTTAACAAACCTAAAGCGACAATAGTTCAGAACAAGAATGTAAACAGAAACTTAAGAAAATAAAAGTCGTACAAGTTGGTATGAGATGTTAGATGCTTGGGATATCTTATTGTCAAAGTTAGAAGATTTTTCAGTTCGTGGTATAAAGTTCTATACACCTTCTCCAAACTTCTATTCTATCTTCACTGGATATAAATACGAACAAGTAGAATGGAAAGAAAATGTTATAGAAGCTTGGTTAGACCATGTCAAAGAAATTATATGCAATGGAAACGAAAGAGTCTATGAGTATCTTATGTTGGTTTGCAAACATCTTACAACATCCAAGTGCTAAAAATGAAACTGCTCTCATCATAATAGGAAAACAAGGAACAGGTAAGAACACTTTCTTTACAGATATCTTATGCAAACTGTTAGAAGGTTATTCGAATCCGAATATGACAAACTTAGAAAACATCTGCGGTAAATTTAACTCCTCAATAGAGAATATGAAACTTATAGTATGTAACGAACTTCAAAGTATAGATACAACAAAGGTTTTGAACTCGGATGCTTTGAAGAGTCTTATAACAGACAAAGTTGGAGTTGTTGAAAGAAAATATAGAGACCAAAGAGTTTGTGAAAATGTTGCAAACTTCGTCATGGTTTCAAACAACGCCGTTCCGATGAAGTTAGAAAGTTCTGACAGAAGATATGTAGTTGTCAGAACGTCAGAAGCTCATATGCAAGATACAGAATATTTTGACGACTTAGCAGAAACTTTGACACCTAACTTTTACAACCACTTGTTCTCATATTTCATGACATTAGATATTTCAAAGTTCAATCCAAGACAAATTCCACATACCGAAGAGAGACAAACATTGTTAGAAGCAAACAAGAGTGTATATGAACTGTTTATAGATGAGACTAACTTTGAGTGTTTAGATGAAAGGTCATTGTACGATTCGTATAAACAGTATTGTCAAGAATATGGTTATATGACAGCGTCTAAACGAACATTCTTGGCAAATGTCAAAAGTCTTTTAGATGTTCAGAATGGTGTATATACAAAGAAAAATTTTTCTGAGTAAATTTTAAAAAAAATATTTTTTTATCCGATAGAAAAGATGGCGAAATTCATCTCAGTAAACAAGTACATGTCAGGACTTAAAGAAGAACTAGACCCATTCACATATTTGAATGTTTACTTCTACCATTTTGAAAAGTCTACATTTGACAAAGTTTGGAACATCGAACCAGTTAAGTTTGCTATTGTGACTAAAAATGGTGCGAAATTTGAAGACTTAGACATAGAAGGTTTGTTAACAGTCAAAGAAAGTTTTGACAGAAGGTTTTCAAACCTTAAAGAAGGCAAAGCATACAAACTTGTTATACCTTATGAACCAAAGAAAGCAGACGACTATGAATATTATGAGTCTAAGATAGTTGAAGTTCAAGGTAAATTGGGTAAAAAGATTTTAGAGTCTAAGCCGGTGTTTGCTCCTAAAGAGGAAGAGAACATTGACATTGACCCAGAAATGTTCTAAAAATAAAATTTTATTTTTACATGTCATATCTCCCCTTCTCTGGAACTGGTTCTTTCTTCTCTTCTTCTACTTTCTTTCTTTCTTTTCTCTTTCTTCTTTTCTGGTGGAGTTATGTCAAACTTCTCAGAACCATATTTTTGTAAAAGTGCTTTGTCATTTAATAGCTCTTCTATTCTGTTTTCTATTTCATTTTCAAGAACAGCGCATGTGTCTTCTTTGCATTCTAAGAAGTTTTGTTGGACTTCATCTCTCCAAGAGGCGTCATCTCTGTCAACAAGTCTGTCATTGACAAATTTTAAGACTTCTCTGCTTAATGTTTTATGGTTCTTGTCATATTCCCAGAAACAGAACTTTAGAACAAATTCACCTTTCTTGTTTACACTATGTAAGATTTTATGGTCGACAGATGTTTTGCTGTCGAAAAGCTTGTCTCGAATATAGATAGCGAAATCGCTAGACATTTTCTAAAAGATAAAAATTTTAATTTTTCTAAAAATATGTTAGAAAAAAAGTTTGCTGACATTGACAAAAAATTTGAGAATGTTTTAAATAAGAACAAGAGGAAGTTAGAAAATGCTCAGATAAAACCCATACATGACAAGTTCTTATTTGCTCAGAATGGTATAACAGGTCTAATCGCACCACCTGGGTCGGGTAAGACTTTCACTTATCTTAAAATGGCTGCACAACAACAAGAACTAGATGAGAAGAACCCATTCTATGAGTTAGTAGTCATTTGTAGTACTTCTGGTCAATTTGACCAAACCGTAAATTCGTTCAAAGATATTATAAAAAAGTCTAAGTTAGTATGTATAAAAGACTCTGAGTTGTTGGATTGGATAAAGAAGTACCAAAGAAGAGTTTTGAAGTACAATGCTATAAATGAGTATGTCAATTCGAGGTTTAAAGACCCAAATGAGGAAATGCAGAGAATATTAGAGAAGAAACACTTCAGAAACAAACAGAAAGAGATAGAATACATTTCGAAGAAATTGCAATCTTACGATTGGAAGACTTACCCTCATAGGTGTCTTCTTATCTTAGATGACTTTGCTTCTCATCCTTTGTTAAAGAATAGAGAACAAGACATGTGTCGAATTCTTAAGAAGCTCAGACACTTTAACATCTCAGTTGTCATTTGTGTACAGACAGCAAAGAGTTTAAGTAAGGATGTAAAGAGAATACTTACTGACATTGTACTTTTCCCCGGATTGTCCGAAGACGATTTCATGGAACTTATGAAAGAGTCCATGGCAGGTAAGTTTGACAGACATGAACTATGGGAGAAGTACAAAGTCATACAAGACCCTCATACTTCTTTCAGAATTCATATCTACGCAAACAAAGTTCAAATTGTAAAAAGTCAAGCTTGAAAAATGTAAGTGTTTGAGTCTTAGTCTGCTTGTTTGAAGTTGTCAAAATACTCTGTTATTTTTTCTTTCAGTAGCGGTAAGTCTTCTTTGAATGTAAGTATTGTACAACCTTTGATGTCATAGTGTGTTTGAGGTAACGTATCTTGAACTATTTGTTTCACATCTTCATTTGGTGTCATTGAAATCGGTAAGTTTTCGCGATAGAACCAATTTCTGTCAGATTTGTAAATCTTAGCAAGGTCGTAAAAGCTTTTGTTGTTTCTTCTGACTAAATGCAACATAACCATATCTCTGTCTTCTTCATTTTCCATCTCTTCAGTGTAAATCATATACTTATAGTTCTTTTCCTTTCCTTTTGGTACCGAACGTGGTATTCTTTTCTGTATGTTTTTGTCTTTTGCTTCAAGCTTGTTCTCTAGCTCTTCACGTTCTTGTCTATGAAGTTCGTCAAGAAGTCTGCAAATATACCAAGCATAACGAGGCGAAGCCCACATTGCAACAGCATTTACAAGAAGTCTATGTACATACCAACCTCTCAAACCATTTGGCAAATTTTCACGATTTTCATGAGTTTTAGGCGAGTAAGATTTTTTACTTACTCGCTGTTCTTCACTGTTTTCAGAAAAAAGTATGTCTCGCTGTGCTTCGCTCAAAAATTCTTGTGTGCTTTGGTTCCTAAACCAGTCTTGTGGTTTCTTGGTATCTGGTGCAAAACATGCTGTCAAAATACTTTGCATTTGGTACATGTCATCTTTGACCGAACGAATGAGACGTAACTGTTTGTTAAACTGAACCCACTCGTATTCTTCATTTATAGCTTCATGAACGATAGCAGTTGTTGTGTTCTCTGTTGTTGACATTACTGTCTTTACATACAAAATAAAAAAAATATTTTATAAAAAACTAGCGTTATTTTTTCTATCTTAAGGAAATGTTAAAAATTCATGGTTACATATGTGAAAAGAAGTCACGAACAAATGAAGTCCATAAGATTCAGCACAAAATTCTGAATCGAATGGTGTGTCATACATGTCAAACCGTCAAGAATTGAAGGAGATACGAGGCTATAAAGATTTTGGATATTTTCTGACACACACCCTGAGGGAAAAGTGACAAAACACGACGATAGAAAAAGTGACAAAATTGAGAGAAAGTTGTTCCCCGACCAAAATGCAATCATGTTGAAAAAGTGACATTTGTAAAGTTGGACGATAGGATTTCCTGAAAAAGTGCAAGACTTGTCTTGAATCAGGACAAGATTTGTCTTGAAAAAATACAAGACTTGTTCTGAAAAAATACAAGACTTGTTCTGAAAAAATACAAGACTTGTCTTGAATCAGGACAATTGTTCTCAAATTTGAGAACTTTACAAGAAAAACTGACTAAAAAGTGCAAGTCTTGTTCTGAATCAGGACAAGATTTGTCTTGAAAAAATACAAGACTTGTTCTGAAAAAATACAAGACTTGTCTTGAATCAGGACAATTGTTCTCAAATTTGAGAACTTTACAAGAAAAACTGACTAAAAAGTGCAAGTCTTGTTCTGAATCAGGACAAGATTTGTCTTGAAAAAATACAAGACTTGTTCTGAAAAAATACAAGACTTGTCTTGAAAAAATACAAGACTTGTCTTGAATCAGGACAAAACTTTACAAAATGTAAACTTTACATAACCGTTTCTATCGTACATGATATTTAGTTGACATTGTAAACTATCTTCATGTAAAGTATGGCGGTTTGAAACCGTCGGGAACCTTCACTTTTTTGACGAACTTTCCTCAGCAATTTTTAAATTTTGTGAAAACTCAACGGTTTGACACGTGTCATATGTCATTTTACTCAGAATTTTGTGCTGAATTCAGCAAAAATAATTTTTAGGTGAAGAGGTGAAGCCCACATTGCAACAGCATTTACAAGAAGTCTATGTACATAATATCCTCTCAAACCGTTTGGCAATTTTTCACGATTTTCATAGAGTTTTGGCGACCCCGAAAAAAGTCTGGGTCGCTGTTCTTCACTGTTTTCAGAAAAAAATTAGCGTTATTTTCTATCTTGTATAAAAGACCAAAAATAAACGCTTTACATGTATTTTTCAGCAACTTCGTCAAATACTTTTATAGCTTTCTCTATCTCATCTACTTCGAAAGTTTCTTTACCTTTCGTGGGAGCACCATACCTTTTCTCAAAAACTTCAAGTAGTTCTGTTTCAGCAGCTCTCATATCGTTAACGAACACAACCTTAACTCTATTGACTGTAGAGTCATATCTTTGAGTTATATTATATGTTCTTCCTATCTTATATCTCTTTGTATTGAAGTCCTTCGGTTTCTGAACGATGTAAAGTAAGCCCTCACTGCAACGTTCCGTATCGAATGAACCATATGTTATGAAATTATATCCAACAACTGGGTCAATCCAGAACAAAACTACTGGTATAAGACTTTTGTCTATAAGATATGCTGTAGTTCCATAGAATCTTACCGATATCATAAGCTCAGGATTTCTTGTCAAAATTTTCTGAGTAGAAGCAATTCTAACCCAGTCCTTTGTTTTCTTTCCAGATGGAGATATAATGTCTGACAAAGAATATTTGTTGTATTTCTTTGAGTATCTTACGTTTAAATCACCTATTCTAACTATTTTGGTCTCATTGTCTATCTTTTTAACTGTTTCAAACTCAGTGCTTGTCATTTCCTGTTCTTACATACAAAATAAAAAAAAATATTTTAAAAAAACTAGCGTTAATTTTATTTTTTCTATCTTGTATAAAAGATATGATTTCATAGAGTTTTTTTTACGATTTTCATGAGTTTTAGGCAACCCCTGTAAAAGTCGGGGTAGCATTTTTTCACGATTTTCATGAGTTTTAGGCGAGTGGTTTTTTTTTACTACTCGCAATTTTTCACGATTTTCATGAGTTTTAGGCGAGTAAGATTTTTAACGTACTCGCAATTTTTCACGATTTTCATGAGTTTTTTTTACGATTTTCGTACGGAATCTCTATCCTCGATTTTCCTGGGGTAGCAAACATATGAGGAAATTCATGAAATTTGGTCATTTTTTTACGATTTCAGGGATTTTTTTTACGAAGTGTCAAAGTTCACTTCGTCAAAAAATACAGTTATATCATGAAATTTGGTCATTTTTTTCAGCAAAAATATATTTTAGGCGAACCAGGTCCCTCGGTCCCTCGGTCCCTCGGTCAAATGAACTTCTCTGAAAAAGTGTGACAACATGACATTTTGACAACAGTCCAGGAAATAGACTTCATCGTCAATGTTTTGTCATGAATTTCATCGTCAATGAGCGTAAATCAGACAAAAATATATTTCTACCATAAAGTTTTACAAGCGTTTTACATGGTATATGTTGTGATGGTTCATGACTTTAAACAGTTTTGTAGCTTCTATTTCTTCACGAAGGATATCAAAAGTTTTAACTATGCCGAAGGTTTCTTTATATTTCTTCTTGACATCTGAAAGAAGGAAATCGTCAGCAGTTGGATAGTTTTTGTTCAGAAATGTCAACATGTCCATTTTATCTTCTGCTGGTTTCTCTACTTCTTTCTTTAAGTCAGCATAGTCGTTTCGCATACGTTCTATCTCTTTGACGGAGTAGTTATATTTCCTTGTTGCTGCTTTACATTTTGAACATTGTGGGTTCATTTTAGCATTATATTCTGAAACCTTACCTGCAAGTATGACTAAGGCGTAAATGGTTTTCTTTAACTCAAAAGTTGCTGGTTTTATCTGTTGGTTCCATACCTTACCTCTTCTATCTTTATCTCTTATCTGCAAGACACATTTTGCAACTAACGAAACAAAGTTGTCGTAGGTCTTAAACTCGCCAGATTTGTATATGTCAATGAAATATACCATATCGCAGTCTTTGTCCATGACTTTGTGGTTGCAATGAAATCCAAGAAACTCATAGTTTACATTACGTATGAACTTCTTGGTTTCTACTGAGTCAGTTGGTTTCACTTCTATTTCATCGAATTCAGGAATTGTAAGCTTTTGTTGTTGTATTTCAGGAAGTTTAGGTAGATGTTCCACCAGGTCCTGCATTTCATAAAGATACTGTTCATTTGTTTCATCTTTTGCACTACAGTCTAAATCTCCTTGGAGAAGTTCTTGCTTTATCTTCTGGATTTCTGTTTCGAAAGTATATGAAGAAGGAATGAAGCTTTTCATCTCTACTAACATTGAAGTTGGGTTCATGACTAACGAGTTTGGTGCTGTTGTTGCTGACATGTTCTTACAATAAAATAAAAAATATTTTTTTAAAAAAAACTAAAATATATTTTTGCCTGATTTACGCTCATTTACGATGAAATTCATGACAAAACATTGACGATGAAGTTTATTTCCTGTGTTGTTGTCTAAATGTCATGTTGTCACCATTTTCAAAAAGATGTTAGTTGACCGAGGGACCGAGGGACCGAGGGACCTGGTTCGCCTAAAATATATTTTTCAATACTTTTTCAGCACTTTTCCGTAGTTGTATATGAAAGACAATTCGAGATAAAAGTCGTAGTACAATGGAATAATATGCTGCACACCGTTTGTTGTGAACCAGACTTGAAAGTCAGAGAAACTGTTACTAGGTGGTTCGTAGAATTTAGAAGCAAAGTCATAAAAGTCCTTACTGATACATAGAAAACTGTTGTTGCTTGAACTGAAACTTGCATGACACATAACATTTTGAGGGTCGAACACGTTTCTATAAACTGTCAAATCTGCTGGTGGGAGTATAAATTTAAATGGACCATCTGGTGGTAATGGTTCGTTCTGGTTTAGTAACCGAAGAAATTGCGCCCAAGAACGTCTGTCTACTCCCCAATATAAAAACTCTGTATCTCTTGGAGGGTTAATTTCAATCTTTTGAAATGAAACTGTGGAGTTCATCTTGTCGTATTCTAGTTTTAGATAGTATGTTCCATTTAGTAAAGAGTGGTATTTTTCTTGAAATTCCCAGTAGTATTTGTTTATTTGAGTTTGAAAGTCATTTAGAGTTTTTTCAAGACTTTCGTCTGAACGAATTGTAAAGATTTTCATTTCATCAAATTTTTCTATTAGACCATCAGAGCCTTTATACTGGCCATGAAAATATACTGCGAACATGAATGCATTAGTTCTATTTGAAAACAAAACTCTTCTAAATCCTATTGCCTTTGCATCTGAAGGACTTTGAAGCCAGCGAATTGGATAGTCAAATCGATAAGCTCCGGATGAAATTTCTTCATCTGATATAGTCCTACCAGCGTTTGTAAAGATATAGTCTAACGGTTTTGTATCTGCTACTTTTGTTCTTTGTTTTTCAACCTGAAGCATTTTATATATGTAAAAATATACTGTTTTAAAAACGTTTTAAAATGGTATGCCATATAGCTTCTTGAATTTGTTAAGAAGTATTTTAACGTTTTTTCCATCTGTATCTCTAGTGTTTACATAAGCATAGCCCGCCTTAGTAAAATATACTTGTAATTTCCTATAGTTTACGCCGGTATAAAAGTAGAAAGAGTCTTGTTCTTCGCTATAGTAGTAAAACTCAAACGTATGCTTACCATAGTCTGTAATTTCAATTGTTTCATCTTCTAGTTCGTCGACAAATTCGAATACAATATCTCCAATTTTGCCTTTGTTCTTACTGTTTTCAGAACAAGTGACCCAACGCAAGTTTTCAAGTCTATTGTCGTTTCTTATATGGTTTATATGGTCTACAAAAGGTAAATTGTTAGGGTTCGGTATAAAATGAGTTGCAATGACAACATGTTTAAAATAGTTTTTTCCACCCATCCTCATAGTAGCATATCCTTTATTCCCCTCCCATCCGCTTAAAACTCTTTTTGTCTTTTTGTTTCTGACTTCAAATGACTCACAACAGTGAATTTCATATTTCTCATCTAACAAACAAGTTTCCCAACGGTCTTCTCCAACAAACTCAGCGTACATTTCAAATAAAATAAAAAAATATTTTTTTGAAAAAATGTTTTAAAAATGGTATGCCATTTCATATTTCTCATCTAACAAACAAGTTTCCCAACGGTCTTCTCCAACAAACTCAGCGTGCATTTTTATAAAAATAAAAAAATGTTTTTTCTTTACTTTACATAACCACCGGCTGCCATAAGTCTTTGACGCCAACCCATACCAGCTAATGAAGGTTGGCTTGGTTTAGTCTCCAGACTAAACTTTGGTTTTGGTTTATCTTCAGTTTTTGGCTTCCCTTCTTCTATTGGTTTTTCGTCACTTTTCGGTTCTGCTGACTTTACCTCACTTGCTTGAATAGTTGTGTCGTCAACATCTTCATAAATATCATATGCCATCTGTTTTTGTTTTCCTTTCAACTTTTTGTGTTTGTTGTAAAGTTTAGAATATTTCGACTCTAAGTCAATGAGATGTTCTATAATGAACTGTTGGTCAGTGAAGTAAACTTTCCCATCTGTTGTCTCTTTAGTTCCTTCAGACTTCAATATTTTATTTGTGAGAGTCTGTTTCTTTTTGAGATACTTGCCGTTCCATTTTTATGAAAAGTGACTTTGTAGTTAGGGTTTGTATTTCCAGACCTCACACTTTCTATTATTGAATTTTTCTCTTCATCTGTAAGTTCTTTGACAGGTTTTGACAATGGTTCTGAACTTTTTGTTTGTGGTGTCAAATCTACCGTTTCAACTTCTTCGGTCATTTCATCTCAGTAAAAAATTTTAGTTTGGTTTGTTTTCAACTGGTTGTTGAGGTTTTTTAAGTCGGTCTAAAACTTCCTGAGGTATAGGAAGAACTTGACAAACACGTTGTGTAACTGCTGGAAGCCGACAAATCCATCTTGAGCCCATTTGTCTCAATGCTGTATTGTTCATTTCATCTCAGTAAAAAAATTTACATTCCCCACGTTTGAGGCGGTTGCGGTTGGTTGTTGTTTACCCACTGTTGTGCATGGTTATATCCTCTGTTAAAGAATCTTTCACCTTGGTCCATATAGTGCCCTGCTTGGTTATAGTAGTCATTTGCTTTGTTATAGTAGTTTCCTGCTTGTCTTCCTACATTGTCCATCCAGCCTTGAACTTTTCCTCTTGTTTCAGGATTTGGAATAAGATTTGCTGCATCTCGTGCTACATCCCAACCTTTCTGTACGGTTTGTATAATAGGTTGCGCTTTCTCTTTAAGTATACCTAAAGTACTCAAAATCTTCCTTCCAATTCCAAATGCACCTCTGGCTATTGTTCCCACTGCGGGCAAAAATCTAGATGCGACTCCTGCTAATGCGCCAAATAAACCCATTTCTTATGGGTTAAAAATGACGAATTCAAACAAGGACCCGTATGTTTCTAAAGCGACAAAGAAAGCACTCATGGTAAAAATCTTTAGTTCAACACCAAATGCTTGGTTTATGGATATCTTGGAAAACATTCCGAGGTATAGAGAAGATGGACCACCATACTGGCTAATATTTGTCGGTCAAAACACAAGATACTGTGAAGCCATACCATTACAGTCCAAAAATATTTTAGATATCTTAGCAGCTTTGACAATATTCGTTGACAAATACCATCCAACAAAACTGACATCTGACTGTGAAAGTTCTTTCAAATCAGACGATATTAAAAACTATCTGCGTTCAAAAAATGTAAACCAATATTTCATTGTCGACCAAAACCATTCTGCTCTTGGTGTCATTGACAGTTGTATAAA